AGAATATTCATTATTTATTTACTCATGCAGATTTAAAACATTCTTTATTTTATAAGATGAAGAGCGGATGAAGAGTTAGAGAATTTATCTTCCACACAGGCCTTGTTTCCAAGGTAATCCCTCTCTAGTTATTTTTAGATCTCTCAAGGTTTCCGAAATCCCAGGAGGGTCTGAAGTAGCTAATCCTATGACGCGGATTTAAGTCACGTGGATTGCCCAAGCGGGTTTACGAGGATTTTCATCTTCAACATAAAACATACACACAACGCACGTTGCAACATTATCCACCCGACGAACTGGTAGCCATGTTTATTATAAACGGGCGAGAGATGACGTTGGGAAAAATGCCTGTACGGAAGATTAACTCTCATATCCTTCGTCCACTCTTTAAAACATGTATTAGAATTGTGTATAGACACAAATGGAGGCTATTGTTTATTTCTAAAATATGGTCGGCATAGGCGTAACTTTTTGGGGTTTTTTGCTTTTATTTTAGTTCAGTTTTCTTTATTTTTAGGACGTTTTCAATAAAGCAATTATTCCACTCGCGCTTGTTGGATATGAGATGATTATCACCAAATCGGCGTTGGCTATCTATCATCTCATATCCAACGAGCGTTCGTGGAATAATTCATATCCCGCATGGTCAGGTTAATCGGCCTGGAGGGAAGATAATACGTACATTAAGTAAACGTTTGGAAATCCTTCGTTCAGTTAGCAAAGTCTGTTTCTCAAAATCATTCCAGGTTCAAGAATCAAACAGTTTTCCAATGTTCGGGAGAAGCTGCGGGAAGTCCGTTGTGTTTTGTTAAGAATTTTCAAACAGTTGACTTAACGGTAAGCACGGAGAGTCGGGCTTTTTCCCCCTTATTCACAAATTAAATAAAACGGTTACATCAGACGGAGTGACTGTTAGTTATTGCAAAGTCCCTAAGGATGGAAGGGGGCGATCTTCTTTCCCCCAAAAAATTACACAATGCCTGAATGTGCGAGTGTTGAAATCAAGATACAAGCGCACTCAAATTGCAGCAAAAACGAAAACGTTCACAATTCCCACGTCTAATGAAACTGTTACCATGAGGATCCCACCCTAGGTATAACTTAGAAATATAGTGGTCGGAGCAAAAGGTCATTATAACTACTAGCGTTATACTTGTCCGTGACATTTACTGCATGATATTCACCCGATAAATAATACCAAGAAGGAATCAAGGGTAAAAGATTTAAGTCAGTGAATTCTCCATATAGGCATTATGTTCAAGATAATGCCGCTCACGTTATTTTTTAGAGATGCTACCCACTTCTTCTTATGAGTTCACCGCGCGCGTCGTGTGGATGTTTTCGTGGAAGATACAAATGCTTGTAAAGCCCCTTGGGCTGTCCACGTGAGCATAATCGGTGTCATAAAATTGGCTATTTCTAGATCCTGCTGGGATTTAACAAAAAACTAGAGCTAAACTCGACCTTAGGCCTTCGCGCCATCCATTTTTTGGCTTTTATCACAAGAAGCATACAATCTTGTTAATTAGGATGAAAGTGAATAAAGGAATGAAAAAAAATGGATTGAGTGGTTTACTTTTGTCATTATCTCTTACGCGAACTTACAGGGAAAGCCGCTCTCCACACTGATCCTGCAACACGCGGAAGCGCTTAACTCGTACCAAGGCCTCTTTGCGCTCTGTAAGAATTTTTATAACGCCTTTTTTAACTCATTCGAATCTCTTATAAATTTCGCAGCTTCCATGAAACCAGACAAACATGAAACGAAGTCGACAGATTTTTTTGCAACTTGGTCTAATGTATTTTGAATAATTTTGACAGTCAAATAATTTTTGCGTCTTTTTCAAAGTTTTATCTCAAATTGTTGTTCGCTACATGGTCGTACCATTACCCTTGGTCAAAAAGCGCTTAATTCTCCACATTCGCGTGAAACAGAGAGTTGGACAATTTAATTTATCAACAATTTAATTTAATCCTGACAGTTAGCAACGGTTTATTTTATCTATAACTATATATGATTGATTATAACTGATTGTCCATGTTAAATTACAATCAATTCTACCTTTTACTTATATAACGAAGGAATCCACCGGAAGTTCGAGTAACAAGTGGACAAAAACTTTGTACCGAGATCATTGGCATCGTTTCGCAAGCTTCTGTGCAACTATGTAGATATCTTCTCAAAATAAATCATTTCTAACAACACCAAATGTCAAAAACAAATTTTCAAAGTACTGGTGAAATAAAACTGATGATGATGAAATCTTACCTGTAACTGCACAATTTCACTGAACTTTGAAGCATATTTTCTCGAGTTTCTTTGGAAATTGTTTTCGGTGTTATTTCAGTCAACTATTTATATCTTTGGCTACAAAAAAATGTAAAAACGACTGTAAAATACCTTAAGTGACAAGGCTTTTGTCCACTAAAAACTGAAATTACTCGATTTTCTATCGGATTTCGTCTTAACCCTTTTATTATCATGCTGTGGACATGTTTGGGTTAACAAACAGCTAACATACACCTGAAAAAATTCAAGTTTCTTCACAAAAGAAATTTATTGAACAGCTCGTCGCCTCCTAATGTTCTGTAAATGTAATGCTATCACTGAGCTTAGCAAGAACTTTTAACGTCCTGTTTCTTTAATTAAGGCTGTGAGGAGCTTCCACAAACATGTCCACAGTCAGAAAAGCTAAGTAATTATTCAATAACTATAGCATTTCGATATACGCTATACACAGTGCGGCAATGTCAGAAAACGGTCACTTAGACGGAAGGGTAAAGTTCTTCTTGGTTAACCTTCACATTCTAATGTAAAGCCCCGGCCAAACGATCGCAACATTTCAACAAAACATATCCCAACTTTGTTGGCCCAGCATTTGCAAACTCCGGCCAAACGATCGCAACATTTGAACGCAACATATCGCAACATGTTGCGTGCATTTGGCCACCCTGTTGCGACGTGTTGCGACATGTTGGGTAATGAAAATCGAACAAGTGCGCATGCCCGGGTGCAACATTGTTGAACGAACCTGGCCAAACGGCTACAACATCATGCAACATCCACAAATGTTGCATGAAAAATTTGACCAGGTTCAAATTTGAGCCAACAACACCCGACATGTCGCAACACGTCGCAACACGTTGCAACAGGGTGGCCAAACGCACGCAACATGTTGCTCCCAACAATGTTGCGATATGTTGCGTTGAAATGTTGCGATCGTTTGGTCGGGGCTTAAGCTTTCAAATATAAAAAGTTTTAAAATGGCTCTGTTCTGAATCTCTCAGTCTGCCCGCTGTTATACTGTCATCATCAAGACTTGGAAATTAGTCAGCACTTCACTAGCTTGCTGTTCTGTACAAAGGGCTTGGTTGTGGCTTGGTCATTGTCTAACCGTGTATCGTTTCAAATTCTCCTTTGTTCCATGGCCGGTCGATTGTTCAAGCAGAGGCTTACACAAATTGAATGAGCATCTCCAACTTAAAGGCACCGAAAGCATTTAACATTATTGAACAGCACCGAGTTAGTGACCAGACGGTTAAAGATAATGTTAGTTCAGATCACAACTTAAACGTATTTATAACAACACTTGATAAATTCCCTCAGCTACGTTAATTTGCCATATTTGTGAACTGGCCGGGCCACTGTCAAACTTGAATATGGCTAGTGATATCGCATTTCATTTCTTTGTCCAAATTTACTGAAAAATAATGGAAAAGCCAAAAAGAAAAATGAAACTTGCCTCCTTCGATCTTCGAGCAGATAAACAAAGAGATGCTGGGCCTTTTTCGAGGAGCTTGTTTAATTTCAACGAGAATGAAGAGCACACCATGTTTTGCCCAACTTTGAGAAGAATTCCTTCTGAAAGAATTTATTCACCAGTAAGTGATAGTTTACTTATTTTGCTAAGCTTTGGTTGCTTCTTCAAGCACGCTAAAGCGGCCCCTTTACTTAAAATTCTCACATGATCAACCCTTGAGCATTAGTTGGATCACCG